CTCCCCCCTCTCTCTCTCTCTGTGTCTCTTTCTGAATACTGTCTATCGGTGTGGACGATCAAATTGACCAAAACAAGTTTTAAAATGATGTTAAAAAAGAAAACTAAATTAATTTGGTTGCCAGCGTTGGCTATTCTCACCTGGTGTGAAACAAGACCTGTTTTTTTTCTAATTTTGGAATACTGTCTATCGGTGTGGATGATAAAATTGACAAACGTAAAAGCAAAGAAAAAATGACGTTATAGCACAAAAGTAGTCTAGGCCTAAGCTAATTTGATTTTCTACAAAGATGCTCTATGGCTATTTCACTTTTCGAATGGAGCCGAACTACGCGGGTGACCATTTTGTTTTGCCCAGAAGTTCTCTCAAGATCTACTCCTCCCCTCTCTCGTGTCTCTTTCTGAATTATACTATCGGTGTGGACGATCAAATTGACCAAACCAAAGTTAAAAAATGATGTTAAAACACAAAAGTAAATTAATTTGGTCGTCTACAAAGATGCTACGGCTATTTAACTTTTCGAATTGAGCCGAACTACGCGGGTCGCCATTTTGTTTTGCCCGGAAGTTCTTGCGCTACTCCTCTCTCTCTCTCTCTCTCTCTCTCTCCTCTGGCCACAGACAAAATTGCACGCTTTTAGGGTAACAGTAGTAACACAAGAGCGCTGGAACGTTTGTTCTCGGCACAGAACGCACACCGGGTGAGAATAGAGGTGGCCGCAAAAAATACTGTTTGACCCACCAAAAACAGTACGCATCTCTGTGTGCGGGAGTGAAAAAGTAAAAGTTTGGTAAATTTTTACTATTGCACCCATACACAGATGCATTGATTTGAGGGCTAAGCTGCCATAATTTTTCCTGTAGAACACACGTATGGCCACTAAAACCCTTGCAAATCAATTGTTTTCAAGTAAATATCAATCCTAATTGCCAAAACATCAAATCGTTGTGAAATGCAGGGGGGCATGCCTCCCCTGAAACCCCACATTTTGTTAAAATCAAGTCAAATATTACTATTTTCAAACATCAATTTATAACTCAATAACTATTGATTTGTAGCACAAATGAAAGCCATATATATATATATATTCGTGTTCAGCATGCAAAAGTAAAAAAGTATATATATAAAACGTGTCTAGTAGGCTTCATGAGACGGGTGCATTAAAAAAAAGCCCAAAAGTTTTGCTGTAGATATTAGATCTAGATATTCGCACAGGGTGTGTGAATACTATCCATGGAATTGTATTCGCCCAGGGTGTGTGAATACTATGTGAATACTATGAAATGTTACTGGCACAGGGTCTGTGAATATTATGAAATTATATTCCCACAGGGTGTGTGAATACAGTGTACTACAAAATATTATTTGCACAGAGAGGGCGTTCCAAAAGAAGGATGGAAATTCGCACAAAAAAGTCAAGGAACAAAAATTCAAAGAAAGATAACTGAAGAACAGTTTATTAACCAAATTTATTCATTTTTTCCAAAATGTTGCTTTCGACTCTTTAGATTAAGTGTGTACAATTTCAAATTTCAACAAAAATGAGAAGGTCATGTAAAATGAGTTTAAGTCACACTGGTCGGATTTCAAAAGTCTGAACAGCCATAGTTCTTCATGAACATGGTCAATAGTGGGTGTAGCCACCCTGTTTTATCAAACACTCGGCACAGCGTCGACGTATGGACAGGACATGCCTTCGGAGGACTTGTTGCAGTACAGGTTCTGCCCCTCCTGGACGAGGTAGCCAAGAGTTGCTTAAGGTTTTGTGCAGGAGGGTGGTTGTCTTTTATCCACCGGTCAATGGGATCCCAAATGTTCTCTATTGGGTTCAAATCCGGACCACAAGCTGGTCAGTCCATGCGGGTGAAAGCTCGCTGCTGCAGGAAATCCCCAACGATGCGTGCGCGATGTGGCGTGGCGTTGTCGTCCTGCAGTATAGCCTGGGGTCCAATCTGTTGCAAGAGAGAAACAGCAAGGGGGACGCAGGATTTCCTTCCTGTACCTTGCCGCGGTCAAATTGCCCTGTATATGGTACAGGGGGTCTTGTGGTGAGCTGAAAAGCCTCCCCACACCAAAACGGGCCCTCTGCCGTAGGGCGCCACCTGCTTGATGCACTCAGGGTGGAACATCTCTCCTCGGCGCCTCCAGACGTGGGCTCGCCTATCTGGGTGCAGCAGGTTGAATCTGGATTCGTCCGAGAAGACTACCTGGTCCCACTGACATTGGGTCCGCTGTGAATGGCAAGCAGACCACGCCCGACCAGCTGCTGTGTGGGGCAGCGTGTGCCTTGGGCGCCTGGCAGGGACACGAGAAGCGAACTTGGCTCTACGATTACAGTTCCTTACCATCTCCTCGCTCTCGTGGACATTGGCTGTCACCCATAGTTGGTCCTTCGTGCCATTTGCAGTAGTGGTTCATGACGTCACGCCCTGTCCGACGATGAACCGGTCGATGCTGTCGTTGGTCAAACATGGCACCCTGGTTGAGGCCTGTCCTGGACCCTTCCGGTCGCTCGTCATCGTTCTTGCAGCCTCCGTATGACTGATGGGGACACCCCAAGTCGATGTGCAACAATTGAGAACGTGGAGCCATCTTGGAGCCAGGCAAGGACTCGTTCTCTGTCGACGTCGGGCAGCAAGCGTCGTTGGACCATTGTGTTGTAATGAAACGTGGCTGAAAATCGCTGCCTTATAAAGGGTTGTAAGGGAGCAAGAATCACAGCTGAGACATCTGTTTAGCACGTGCCAAGCTTAGTTTTAGCTAACAGTCAATGTTGCTGAGTCAGAGAAATTTAGCCCATTTTTCATGATTTTCGACTGTGTTTCAGAATGCCCTGCGCCGTCAATGTGAAGCTGGTGCGGGCAAATTTGCTGTACATGCAAACTGTGTCTAGTCGACAGTGCGTGTGCCAAGTTTGGTTGACTGATCTTAACGAGTTTGTGAGATATTGAAGTTTAAATTTGACAGGTGAAAACACAAGCTGTCCTTGACTTTTTTGGACGAGTTTAATTAGGCTTAGCATTTCCTCATTTTTTCCCCCTCATCGCGTCGGGACAAAGATCATGTATAACAAGATAGTTCACCCTTCTCTTTGAGCCAATTAAAAAGTGTCCTCAAAATTTGGTTGCGCCCTCTTCGAAAAAGTGCGGAATTTGCGAACAGTTACCTAACTTGTGTGAAAAACAATAAAAGTGAAATTAACAGACTCTGCTTATCCTATTCTTCTTCTGGAGAAACCAAAGAGAGCTTCAAAATAAAGACTCCAGCGCCATCTGAAGCAATGCGCGGACTTTTGCAAACACTTTTCGGGCTGAGTGACCAATCTTGTTTTATTGCTATCTTTGGTAGGGATGAATCTAATTCTAATTGTGCAATGCAATACGGAAAAAACCCACTCAATTGGAATTCAACTTGTGTATTGTGTAAATGATAATCAGATAATGACTCAAATCTCCCTTTTTTCGTTTTTGTTTTCCTTGCGCCTTGGGAGAGAGAGAGAGAGAGAGATGAGTGCATGCTTTAACCCTAAAACTGAAACAAGTATGATTTTATACCAGTGTACAGTTGTTTTAACATTTAAAGCCTTAGTCAAAAGGTGGGATACCCGGGTGTGACAAACGATGTCCGAAATAAATGTAGGCTCGACCCTGTGTGAATCGAATTATTTCTTATTCGCACACCCGGTGTGAATAATATTAATTCCTATGCGCACACCCAGTGTGAATAAAATTAATTCTTATGCGCACACCCGGTGTGAATAATCACTTCCTAAAAGTTTACCAACCTCTGAGTGTTGAGTCGATCTGTTTCGGAATGATTTCGCATCTGAACTATTTTTCAAGCCTTCGTCTTTTGTCTTTGTTCCTCAAACGTGAACTGTCAAAGGGTATTCTACTTTCATTACTGTCTCATACTCTGGTTTTCTAAAGCCCTTTTCTTGTTTATTTTTTAATGATAAATTTTACATGAATGTTGACTATTCGTTACCAAATGAATCATTTTTTATATTTATAATAAATATGTGTCACGACATGGTGGAATCAGGCGCTCGTCAATCTTTTAACATAGAGTTATTGGTATCGTCTTAAAAAGCCTGTTCATTTGCCTTGGTTTTGGTGAAAAAAATATCTGTCTATTATGAATAAGAGTCGAAATATTTGCGATTGAAGGAGGTCACGGTCGCCTGGTTTCAGAGGTAAAATTAGCTAGAAAATGGCCGCCAAAGCTTGATATCAATAACTTCCAAGGCTGGAGAGTCCATGGAAACGGTAAATTCACATAATTGTGCCTTTAATCAATCTTTTTCAGTAAAATCCTCACAGGGATTTTATTCTAAATGGACATAAAAAATGTTGAGCCAAAAAATTTTAAAAATAAAAATTACCAAGAAGGAAGGTAAATACTGTTTTCTTCGATTTCATTCATTATTTTGACGAGTGTCAGATTTCACCATGATGCCTCACATTTGATGATTTCTAATCGAACCATTATATATTTCACACTAAGCCTAATTGTGTTGTAATTTCTGTGCTCTGGACCAAGAAAATTTCAAACCTTTCAAATGGCAACACAAATTATAATTATGAGTATGATCAGGAGGGGAGGGCAGGGAGCCTCATGTTCCCCTGTATCCTCCCCGGATTTTATTTTTATCTCAGGGGGGCATGCCCCTGCCCCTTCCCCCTTGTTTTTCTCTTAATATAGTTTGATGTTTTGTCATAGGTTTGAAATTTTCTTGAAAATAATTGATTTGTGACAGTTTTAATAATATACACTAATCATGTGTGATCTGCTTTAAAAATTACTGCAGTATGACCCCCTCAAAGCACTGCATGTGTGTGAAGGAGTGAAAGTAAAGCCAAAATTCTTTGTGTTCTTATTGTGGTAGTAGAAGCTTATAGACAGAGTTTTATCATTTTTCTGTGTGTACCTCAGGGTCAAAGTTCGGTTTAAAAAGCTTTTCTTGCCTGAAACTAACTCGTTAATACTGTTGTTGTTGGCAGTCAAGATCATGTGCATCAAGTTTTTTCACTTTAAAAAAAAAGTTTCCTAATAATTTGTAAGAACTCATTGTAAGACTTAATCCACCTGAGAGCCCCATAAACTATAAAGGGCAATTCACTTCTATTAGTGAAGTGTCCTGCTTTACCTAACTCATGCAAATATAACTCCCTTTACAGCGCTAAACTACACTCTTAAAATAAACTTGTATTTTTATCATTATGGTTTGAAGTTCAATTTTATATGTTATATATAAACACAGTTTTGGACATGTGAGGTTGAAAGAAGTGAGCTCTTTTACATTCACCTTTGACTTACTTTGAATGGCAATGCTAACTTTCAAGCAAAATAATGGCTCCTAATAGAAGCAGTACAGCCAGAGGAGGAGATGATACAGTATAACACGGATAGGTCGGACACAGAAGACTCGAAATAACTCCTCTGTTGAACTGTGCCTGCGGTCCCATTTTTTAAAAACTTTATCTTTGTAAGATATCCCTCGAACTATGGATACTTCGAACTACTGAGGCCGATCCCGGCGGATTTGAGCTATCCGTGTTATACTATACTGTATGGTGCCATGAAATTTATACAGACTGCCTGCACACTTACAGAAATAACTTTTTTTTTTGAGGCAGGCACATGATCTCTGTCGAGCAGGTCAATCGCTGAGTGATTTTCACTTTATTTTTCAATCCTTTGTCCCTCTCTTATTTATGGTCAAAGCATCTGATTGATGGTTCTGGTGATCGAGAGGTTAAGGTGTTCGCCTCTCATTCAATAGGTCGAGTGTTCGAATCTGAAAAGGAAGGAAAATTTTCTTCTCTAAAATTTTCTTCTTTCACATCCTTTCCTGCTCTCTAACAACTAACAATGTTCTGTCGTCTGCTTTCGCCTCACCTTTCTGCCCCCACCTAGCACCCCCTCAAGTCTTTGCCCCCTCTTCTGGGCTCCTGACTCTTTCTGCAGCCTTTCTACTGCTACTCTTTGGCTCCTTCTTACTGCTGTCTTTCAGCCACACCCCTGATTTTATAGTACCCAGCCTTCTCGGATAAGGACGAAAAGTCTCGGAGGTCACGTGTGCAAATTGCGCTTGTGAAAGATCCCTTTGTGGTCCAAATTCAATAAGAGTAGGCTTCGGCCGCCACCCACTCAAATTTCAAAATTTCCTACAAACTGAAAAATGTTAAATGTGACCTGCACGTTCATATGACCTCCTAATGCTGTTGCGAGTGCTGTGAATTAATTACCCAAAAAAAATCTGATTGAGTTTTAAAACTCACCAGTCATTCTTTCCTTTCATTTACCCAGTATTGTGATTGGTTCTGTTTTGTACGAGTTGAAGAAGTAACAAGAAAGTGGCTATAAATTGAAAAGTTTTGTCATTATTGAGATACCGGTACAACTTAACAGTTAAAACTGAATTATTCCTTTTATTCCTCAATGTAAGTCCCCGTGAACATGAACAATCAAGACAATATAACGTTTTTTGAAAGAGTACATCATGATGATGTCTTGCCCAAATGTGGTGTTTGGGAGGGGAAAGATAAATATCTGCAGTTTTTGTTGAATAAATATATGCAATTTGTCCCACTAAAAGTGTACATCTTTGTATAATTCACACTTTGTTCTTTTTTCTTTATGTTTATAGCGACACAACACAAGATTTCAAAATGGATGAAGACTCTCTGACTGCACAGGAGGAAATGAAGGCTTTGATTGATAAAATGGGAGCTCTCAGCAAACAAGTAAAGGAGAAAAGTGATGAGGAGAAATACTTATTCAAGACAGAAGTAAAAAGTATGCCAAGTAATCAAATTTAATTAAACCATCAAGTTAGGATATACTTATATTACATTATATTTCAATTTAATTGTGATTTCTACCAATTTTGGATGCTAATTTTTTTTTAATCGCACACTGCTATTGTAATGATCAATTTTTTCTTTTAAAAAATTTCCTGATTACTAACAAATTTTCTGTAAAGATACTAAGACTTTTTATTCTTGTTCTTTTCATTTTAAAGTTGTCATTTTGTTTTCATGTTTTTAAGGTTTGTTGAAAAAAGAAAATGTGTAAAGCAGTTCCAAAGTAGAGGTCTCTGTTGATAAAGATTTACCTTTTGATGAATCAGTATCATGCTCTGAGTAATTCACTTTTCAACGCAAAGTAGGTGAAAACTAGTCAGTATATATATTCAATGGATACTGTTTTTTAAGAAATTGTGTTTTTATAGGTTGTTTTTGGTACTGGTCTAATAATATTGGTGAACCATAGCCCAAAAGGGAGATACTCCTTTTTTTTGTTATCGGTTTGACTGCTGCCATGACAATTTCCTTGTCCTGGGACTTAATGGTAGCTGCTCAGTTAGCCCAAGCAAGAAAGGTTGTTTTCTGTCCCGTCTGCAGAACTGCAAGAGCTGCTCAGCTGCTCACAAAACCGCGAGGACACAATGACTGTAGAGCAGACGGAGCGTCTCAAGGCTTCCATGTACCGAATGCAAGCCGAGTTTGAGCAGAGGACAAGGCAGGAAGAGACTCTCAAGAAGCAAGTCAGACAGGCAGAAGAAACTTTGGCAGATCTCAGAAGGCAGCTGGAGGAGAAGATGCAGCAACCTGGAGCCCAGCCCAGAGCAAAGTGAGTTTGGCCTTGGCTTGACCGAAAGGTGGGGCTGTGGCGTATTTGTTACGTTACAGCACATTGGTTTGATGTTTCACAACATGCACACACACAAACGCACACGCACACGCAAACACACTCACACAAACATGCATACACATGCAGGCTTACTATCACATTCGTAATATAAATGAGCAACAATATAAACAATAAATAATCTTAAGCTAGATACATATTTTGTGTGATGACGCCATTTATTTGTTCTACATGGTTCATCCAGGAGCTAAGAAAAATCCATGAACAGGTACTGTTACTATCATTCCACACAAAGATTTCATCTTCTCTATGCTGTAGAGGCAGTAACGTTTTTTGACTTTGTGAACATTCTTTTTGCCTTATTTTGCACAAATGAAGTACTGCTCTTAAATTTCAAAGTGTTTCAAGTTACTTTTATAGTGAAACTTGATTCAACAAAGTCACCAGGTGTGGCTTTGCTTTCTGTTGAGTCTGAGAATTCGTTGAAAGCAATGCGACAATTTTTTGTTGTTGATAAAATTGCAAGTACCAGTGCAGGCTGTGTAAAAAGAGCTTCTCGTAAATGCACACCTATGTCATATGATGAAATGTTTAACTCATTCTCTTCCCATTACCGATATATTGGTAGTGCGACCGCACCATTTTCACTCATTACCAATACATAGGCACCGGCTATACACCAACTTTATATATTTAGAAAATCTAGTTCATAAACATACTTGATCCATTATTGTAAGTTTTGATATAAACAAATCTCTAAAGTAGAAACTTCCTGCAACGAAATATAGTGTCTATACGTAAGTGGGGGAAAAGTTGATATTATTTCAGTATTTTGTGTGGTCTGTTTGTGAAACCAAAACATGAAAGATGGCCACACCCATTACTAGTTCTAGTTATGTTTCTGGGCTGGTAGCTAATAACCCCATGGGCATATAATGTGTAAAACAGACCAGAGAATTTTTCTTTAGTAAACTTGAGAACAGAGGTGATAATGACCTAGAATCCTTATCTTTAGATTCTGATTCGGGTGATGATTGAATTGAGAGTGAGAGGTGTGAAAAAAGACAATATTTGTAGATCTAAATCTACAGTGACAGCAAAGAGGCCAGTTGAAGATAAAGGAGTGAGTGGATGTGCTGGGAAATTAAAGGGAAAGTAAGCCAAGAGAAGTGAAAATCAAGAGGATAATGATGTAGGTCTAAATCTAAATCTAGACTTGGACAATAACAAATGCCACTCTGGCAAATTGTGATTCATTACAACTTTTGGCATTCTCACAGTGATGTTAAAAAATTTATAAAATAAAATATGGTAGAATTTTTCAATTGAATGTAACATTCATTTTATGAGCACAAGAATGTTATTTTGAAACTTAAATTTCGTTATTTATTCAAAGTAGGAAACTTGGTCTGTCTTTTTATTAGCTCCCTTGTGATGTATACATTCTCTGACAAGTATCAATTATGTACTTTGCCTAATCAGATATTTGTTTACACATTTCGATGCTACATTTTATTACCTTTCAAAATATATATGCAGGACAGTGCTTACTTATTATTTCATTTTACTTAGGAAAATCCTTCTCAAACCTACACACCTATCACTCACTATATGGTGCACAGTAGTGTTGGGTCGGGCTCGCAAAATTAGCGTCCGTGAGTAACGAACTACTCGCTGGCACTACCCGCAAACGAGCGGACGGGTAACGGATCGTCCGTTTGTGAAGAGTAGTTCTCTACTTGCTACACAACTTGCTACAACAGTTCGTTTAGCGAGCGGGCGGAGGGAGAGACTCCATGCATTCGAGCGGGCGGACGGACGGGAGAGACTCCTTCCATTGCATACAACTTACAACCCCCCCCCCCCCCCCCCCCCCCCATGTGCGAGTCTCGAAAATTTTTGACCCTGTCTCTTGAATCATGTTTCTGACCAGCCAAAAAAAAACGCACCAGTTTTTCACCTCAGCTGTTTACCGCTAGCTTGCTGCTTATTTTCCGCACGCGAAAAGAGATCCATAGTATGGCCTCCACTAAGTTTATTGCTCATCGCTAGCTTCCCGATAGCTTCAGCTCTCGCTTGTAATGTGGCCTCACACTTATTGACTTAATTAAGCAGGTGGACGTCTTACACACAGTGTCAAGTTATTATAAGTTATTAAGCATAGGGAAGTGGGAAGTGGCCGTTGGTACAAATGATTGTCTTTATGTGGGTAACATCGGATAAAAGTGTTAGAGAGCGGGTTCGACTTGTTAACTCATCATTTGTTCTTCAGATTGTGAGTCTACTTCTGGGCAATGAACAATTGATGCAAACTAATTCCTACTTATATATAATATACTTTTATGTAGGTGTTTTTTACGCCCCCGTCAATGCAATTTAGATGTACATCATTTAGTATTTAGGGGAGGCAGGCTTCCAGCCCAAACTGTCAGGGCCAGTAGGAGCTGAGAGGGACACTAACTACATGTATTACCACATCCCAGCAGAAAGACTAAGATTGCCTACTCAACTCGATAACAATTGTACCCAATTTTGTGAATTTAACTTGGGCCTCTTGCGTGAGACAGTGAAGCACCTAACTGCAATCCAACAGTGGCCTGCTGTCTCAAAGACCTGAATTTCCAAGTCTTTTCTATTTTTGGTAAACAACTGCAAGTGGGCAACAAGTCTTCAACATCAAGTAGAAGGCTGAGCAAATTCTACATCATTCACATTTTAGTGGTTAGTGGGCCTACTCGGGTACCGGTAGGCCTACATACCTGAATGAAGTATGGAGTGCCCTCCACCCAGAATTTTTTCAAGACTCAAGAGCGTCAGTGTTTTATTAAAAGTTACTGTTCAGGAAAAGCATCCTCTTCTTACAGTAACTTACTCTAACACTACAGTACAGTGACTGTAAACACAATTTCAATTTGCCTAAAGAGCCTGTGTACATCATGTACTTTATTTAATCGGGGTTGAGCGCTAATAATTTAATATAATAATATAATGACATCATTTTTTAAATTGACATTTATTTATTTATTATATAAATGAATAATTTGCACAACTCTAACCTGCTCCATGATCAATCAAACCTTCAACTTCAACATGGACGGTTGGTGGGTGTTCTAGTACTGTAGTGTGGTTTGCTCCTTCTTTCCTCTCAAACTAAAACTTCTACATGTATTGTCCTTTTATAAATTTTTGGCGTTTGTTACTCTCTTGTAACACCTGCTCTACTAATCTTCTGCACTTATATATATTATATTATAATTATTATGTTACCTGATCTTATTGTGTTGCAAGTGCCGTGAAGCTCTAAGTAAAATCCTCAACCTCTAAAATAAGTGGGCAGTAGAGATGCCCGTGATGGCTTTTTGCGAGGGCCTAAGCACACTTTTGATAAAGAAACAAAGTTGTGGACTTGTGTCATAGATGTTGTAGGCCCTAGCTATAATATTATATTATAATATAATAATAATAGACTAGCCAGTAAGCAGTTAAATCCCTCACGCACATTCAAAAATCGTCCAGCTTTGACTTGTTTAGTGCAATAAGTCATAGAAAAGGTATTCCAAAAGTAGCCTACATTTTGTACATTATTACTAACAAGAGTAAAATGAACACGATAGTTACAGAAAAAAAAATTAGTTAACCCTATCCGGATCCGTATGGCTTGGGGTTATTTTGTACCCCCGGTGTTGTAGAGTTGCATTCTTCACATTTTAGAATACTTCTAGTAGTAACGAAGATATCTTTGAAATTTTCAGTATTTCTCAAAAAAATCATTTGAGACAGACTGCTACTGCTATGCAAAGCGTATGGATGGAATTAACGAATAAATTTCTTCTTTGGAAAGTGATGACACAGAGTTCTCCACATCGTATGGATACGGGATACGAGTAAAACATGACATATGGATAGAGTTAATCCATAAAATGAGACTAGACCATGAACTTTACTTTGCTTCCAAAACAGAATGCCCATCAATCTTAATTGATAATTTCTATACTATACTGGTACATGTACTGCATGTTATGTCCTGACACAAGAAATCCAGTAAGAGTGGTGTAACCACAATTTCTGAAAAGTGGAAGTGGACGACTTTTTGCAAAATGTCATGAAACCTTACTCTACTCTACAGCTTAACTTAGAATTCAAAAGGAATCCATCCACCAAGGAAGAACCTCACCAAGTACATATGTACCGGTACATAATTGCAAAGAAATCGTTTAGAAAGCATCATGGACTGTCTTTTCCTAGGGTCCGCAAAAAAAAAGAACCATGAGAGGGTGTCCCAAGAGCACCTTTGCCTTTTGTAATTCATTGTTAACCACCTCCTATCAACACAATTTAGACCATTTAGGAAGCGGGCTTCCGATCCTGCCTGTCAGGCCCAACTCACGCTGACTGAGACTACTGAGAGGAAAACAACATCCCAACAGAACAATAAATTCCAACTCGATAAAAATTCTGGAATTGAAGTCAGGTCTCTGGATTAATGAAAGCAAAGTGCCTGACCACTACACCACAACATCAGCACACATTGTTGTGTCTGAATTAATTGGGAGAGAAAAGGGAAGTTGCGGAGTTGAAGTCCCTGTAGGCTGTAGGCTACAAATAATACATGATACTGATACATATATATATAAATATATATCATTCAGAAACTTGCCGAGGACAGGCACTAAACAGGAAGTCCTTTAGTTGTTTTTAAAGAAGTTTTACGGCACTTGCAACACAATAGGCCTACCGTACACGGTCTTATAAACGCTGGAGGAGGTCCTTTGAAGAATTGGTCTATAAATTTGATGACTTTTTCTTGAACTCTTTTAATATTTATTATAATCTTGACATCAGATGCCGGAGACTGGGGCCCCAAAATGCCTGCAACTGACACGGTCACCTTTGGGACCCATCCGAGCAAAATCATTCAAAATGTGATTTACTTTAAAAAATAATTTTAAGACAATACAAACTCAATCTGCACTTTGAATTTTGAATCAGGGCTGGCAAAGGTTAGACTGAGCAAAGACTACGGTATGAAGTGCACAAAATATATAATTTGTGTAGATCTCAGCATTTTGAGCCGAAACAGTAATGCCCAAGATGACATGCAAACTTTTTTATTCCCTTACACTACATCTTTGAACTTTGGGGGGCATCAAGATGACGCAGCAAACTTTAGATTTTGACTACATCTCTGAACTTTGGGGAAAATATCAAGATGTTCACAAACACGCACCCTACATAAATGTTAATTGTTACATGTACCGTAATATTAATATCTTTTTAAAAATGCTTTGGCAAGATGCATTAGAAGTAATTATAACAACATCCCACTCTATAATAATACTACTATAATATATGAACAAGTACAACAAAGTACATTAGAATTAGACATTACTGCACGCACTCACATATGACCTATGCAGTTGCGGGCACCGTAAAACACTTACCAAAGCAATAGCCTACATTACTAGAGTACCATACCTTTCACTTCCCTTTCCCATATATACAACGTTAACACGTAGGCCTACCTTCCTACGCTGACCACTGGTCTACTCTTTCATCTTCCCATTACATTAACTTTATTATTAGCCTACTGTATTGTAATTTTATCAAACCTGTAATGATCAATGTATGTGATCTGGACCATGAACAAATCCACAGACTAAACTCCACCATCCAATCGCAAAAAAACTTTTTTGTAAATTTCGGTATGTCATATTATATTAAAAGAAAATTTCAGCACTTACACAATTCAGTCAACTTCGTTAACATAAAAATCCTGATACTATGAAAGGATTTCAAACTTTCATTTTTTTCTTCCCCTCTTTAATTTTCATGCATTGTAACTTCCCTTAGCGGTAGCGCATCACCTGTTTAATTTAATATGAAGAAATTATCTGGTCTTTTGAAGTTCGTGCTTATTGTAGTGTATTTTTGTAACAAGAACTATGTCAGCTTCCTTCACAAGTTCCAAGCCTTTTCTTTGGATCCTTTCCTTTGACAGTTGCATGGCAAGTTATTTCAACAACAAAACAAAAAAAACATGCTACATTTCCCAAAAAACCAGATTGATTAGGCTGAGAATATTCCATACAGTTCAGTCTTTGTTCTAAAATATCAGTAGAAAAGTAGAAGTCTTGACTCTTATTCTATTATATTTTGCTCTCCATACAGTCATACAGCAACTGTTCTCACTTTTAAGTTAAGTTCTACTGCAGTAAGACTGAAAAGAAACTAAGTAGGGTATGTGTTGGGGAAAAGACAAGACCCCACTGCAATGTAAACCAGTCCAAGTGGCCTCTTAAGTCCAGCAAACACACAAATAAAACCCTGACTGAACTATTCATCATGTAGTCGTGTGTTCCTGATGCAGCACTTTTTTTCAAGATTGCACTTTAAAAATATATAATGTAGTGTACTGATTGATACTGAGGTCATGTCAGATAGCAAAAGCCAACAAAAACAGCTGACTGGGCGGAAGCAAACCCAAACATTGGGGTGGACGATAAGTAGGCTAATCAGCATAATATATGCACCGTATGTTCAAAACAAAACTTTCCACTTCAATTAAGTACAGTACTGTGTTAGTCGGACCTGCTCCAAGAGCTACCTGTTCAAGACAATTACGTGTACTAAGGAACACTCCTCTCCTATGTATATTATATACTGGTATTTTTTTTCTTATTAGTCAAAATGGTCTAAGAGTACTAAGACAGCCACAAGGGCAGTTAAGGCAGGTAGACATGATCTAACACAGTCTCATTATAAATCAAACAAATAGAAAGTAAAAAAGATAAGGGGCAAATGAAGAGTGTCAATTTGTACAGAGGTGACTGTCTACAGGTGGTCTTTAGAGCAGGTCCCATTGGGTATACGAACGACATGGGGAACTCAGGGCCACCACTTCCCAAAGAGGAAATTTACTCGTTCATCCGATCCGTACGCTTTGTATAGAAGTCTGTCAAAATGATTTTTTGAGAAATACTGAAGATCTTCATACTAGAAGTACGGTATTCTAAAATGTGAAGAATACAACCTCGGGGGTACAAAATGACCCCAGGGCGTACGGATAGGGTTAACTCAATACTTTTTAACTTCAGCAACGTGTTGCTGAGGGACAGCGAATATTATTACTTCAGGTTGTAGGCTATTCAGTTTGGTGTGACTGAACAGTCAAGTGCTGTAACTGTAGTCATAGTATGGTCTTCTTAGTTTCAGTGTATGGTACCTTAGTAGTTAAGTTTTGTTTTTTTAAAGTAAAGTGGAGTACAAAAGCTGAGTACTAGTACCAGGTAGTTGTTTTTTTGTGCAATACTACTTGAATTTGCAAGTTTTGTGAATTTTAAGAGAAATCCGTGAATGCAAGTTATTTGCTAAAAAGGGCGTTACTATTGGAACCAAAAAACTGTACTTGTATTGCTTACTAGTATTAAATACTAATACATGTTGTACAATGTACTAATATTCATCACTTTCACAAGAATTCGGACAGAATCTACAACATTAAATCCAAGATCTTAAATTTGCCTGCTCTAGTAAAATGTGTTCACAACACGTTATTCATATGAAGGCCTATATATGGCATGCCAGCAATGTTTTCTTTGAACTTGTTTTCTGCACTGCAAGGCATTGGAGTTCATTTACACTTAAAAATGAGACAGCTGTATACTATGTGTACTAGTGAATGTCTCTGAGTAGGCCTACAAGTGACAATATATTATTTCACATACATGACACTGGACAACATAAATTGCGAATTCAAAACATTCGCAAAGAACGAAATTGGCAAAATGAAAAAAAAAAAGAAGGCGCAAAACATACCCAGTGAGCGGTATATCGACACAGTAACAATCATTTAGAGCAGGGAAAGAGTAAGACAGACAAATAGAAGCAATAGAGGAAAAGAACAGAAGTAGGACCTAGTAATAGTAACAGAAATTATTCACCGGGCTGTAAGCCTACTAGTAACGAATTAACCACCAGAGGTAAACACCATACGCGGCAATCACTCGCTGGCTGCTTGATCTGATATACCGTCAAACTCAGATACAACATGACATACAAATGTATATATATATAATATAGGACCTGCAGTTTTTCCCTGATTATAAGCAAGTCCTGTTATAACCATTATCAAGGGAAATTACAACTACCATTGCATCTCCAGCTTACTACAATGTATATTACCGCAGACCCTTTTCCAGTGGGCTGTTTGCTGACACTGAGTGACTGAGATCAAATCAATCAGTGACTCCAATTCTTTCGATTTGAATTTACGCAAAGTTTAGCTGGAACTGTACATGTAAGCCTAATTGGTTTCTGCTTGTCATTTTCCCTGTGCATGACAGTCTTTCCAGACAGATCTAGACGAGGCAAAACCGGCTACAGTTTATCTCTCGACTTTACCAGTTTACCACTGGTCAATAAGGCAAATGGTGCTGTCCCGTTATAATACTGCTGTAACACCAACACAGGCAGTATGACGGGGTTTGACTGTACAATATTCATGTAGCCTATTATAGACTGTCATAGTTTTACCTTTCACGTTCAGTTCGTTTTATAACATTTGATAGTAGCTTCAAAATCAGATCAGGCTTTCTGTTCAGTTTGCCCAACAGACCTGATAGTGATAGGGCAATCGTTTTTTGTTACATCTCTTACATTTGTTACATATCTGCTTTGTTTCATTTGCTACATATCTGCTTTGTTTCATTTGCTTTCGTAAGAGATTTACTGCACTTCAAACACAATTTGGTCGTAAAAGTACCAAAGACTAGAGGTATTACAAGAGGTAACACAAAAAAAGGAGGAAAGATAAAAAGACGATAAATGTTTGATAGGTAAGAAGCAGCAAACTGCACCAGCAGCACCTGTCTGCCACCCACTCATAACTGCCTTTTGATCTCGATTTAACTTAACTTGAATGCAGACATCATGTTACATACATAACCTTGAATCTTATATTTTGTTTTTGTATTAATAGAGGTTTTACAGCACTCACAACTGCACAAGGTCATATGAGCGCCAGAAGATTACAGGTGTTACAAGAGAGTAACAAACATAAAAAAGAAGAAGGGGAGATAAAGATTATAGATGCTTGATAAGTAGAAGGAACAAACCACACCAGAGCACCCACCAACAACCCACAATCTTCTATGATACCTCACAGAACACTGTTTCGAATCATGACAAAAGACTCAAAACAGTGGCCAAATTAGTACACAGCACACACGCATTCTCAATGCGAACAATAAAATAGGGGCAGAAGAAAACCAAAAAAGAAACGAAGGCTCACCAACTAAAACAAAAAGAAATAGTCATGCATCTGACTGGGCAGTAGATGTTAGTAACCGCAGGCAGTAAACATGAGAGCACACACACACACACACAAACACACACACACATATAATATAGACAAACACTCTATATCCCATCATCAAATTGTGGTCATGCAGGGGTGTGGGCAAAAAATCTCATGCACTGTTGAAAGTATTTAGACTCATCAAGATATGAATCTTGCATGCAATGCACAATAAAGAATGCCAACATGGGGACCTGATTATGAAAATGCAGTAGAGTGTTTCGTCAAGAATTCAGGATCTTTACATGTCGGTGAATAGTGATGTTCACAGATCTGAAAAAAGTTTATACTTGATTGAGGAGGCTAAAAGATGACCGTATCTGTGGTGTGAACCTTAATGTCATGAGACACTAGCATTCAGAAGCGGGTCTCGCCAAAATAAAAATAAAATATAGCATGAAGTATAAGGAGAAATCGTTTATTTATTTTTTAGTTTTGTTCTTACAAGCGCCAAAACTCAAAACTTGAGAATCTAAAATAGCCACGTGAATCAAAGAATATGTTGTTTACATACAAAGAAGCTGAGAAAGACAACTGAAATTTAAGAAAGAAATAGGCCCTGACATGCTCTCTTTACTTTTTTTTTCTTTTTTTAATCAACTTGGGTAGAATATATTATACAAGCATTTAGGAAGGGAAAGGAAACATAAAGAAAGCAAAGTGAGTTTCCAAAATTACATACATCAGAATGTTAAAAAAAAAAAATCCACAATGACAACAGCCAATGAAAAGAAACAGAATGTCTAACACACTGAACATTCCCACATGATATAGAGTAAGGAACAACGTTATTGAAAAAGTACAGTATATAAATGAGTCCAAACATGCAACGCATCTAATCATTCAACAAAACCATATGAAGTGAAAATAATAATCATGTACAAGAGTAGCTACTGTTCTATCATTTCTACTACACGATAATGATGATACAATGCAGTGTGGTCAAAACATAAGAGGAAATTGTTAAGAGGAAATGCATAGTATTTACAGTTAAAACATCTCAAACAATACAACTCAACAGAAACCATGGGCAAAAACCATTTGCCTTCTCAAGTTTTTATTAGCATGCTTTCCAAGACTACCTGCTCATTGTCTAAGCATTCTCATATATATATAAACGTGACCATGAGTTAAGACCAGGAGAGTTGCAAAAAAAGTTAAGCTGTAGTCCACAGCAAAAACAAGCGTTCATGCTAAAAAGAATGTTGCCACAAACAATGATGCATCGCACTGTGCAATAAAACAAAGCAAAAAATCAAGAAAAAGTTTGCATGAGCCGATAAGTTAAACAAACACAGCAGACAAACTTCCCTTCAAGTTTTTATTTCTACATTACTCTCTCATCTTTGAAAACAATCCCAGTGCGAAAAAAAAAGGTTAGTCATTTGTGTGGGGCAACTACAAAGAGAGACAAACTTATTGAAGACTTGACAATGCCACGAGAAAGCTTAGGTTTCAAATCCCTACGCATTATCAATATTCCAGAGAATAAAAACAACTCTTCTCCCTCCCCCTCCTTCCAATTTCGTAAATGTTGACTCATGTTTTTTAAGTGAGAAATGCATTGTCAAGTATTCACAATGTTCAGTGTCCTCTTCAGTTCATGCGCTAGACTACAGCAATTTTAGTGCCATTCATGTCAAACAATCCCAAAAGCAACATGAAGAAAAGCACGACATGCATATGGACATTGTCCAGTTTCAGGGAGACTGAAGATGAAAATTGAAGGGTGGGTGGACACGCCAACATCTTCAAGGTACATACAATGTTCGTCCATATTTTACTTGTTCACGAGGACAAATGTATCAGAACATGCAACTTAGGAAGAGATACGAGAAGTACCTGACAGAGAAAGTTGATTAACACAGGAGCAATCTGAAGTAAATCACCTCACACCAAGATAACAAAATCCAACAAAGTCAGAGAACAATCTTTTAAATTTTGAATTTTATCTTTATAATATAATTAAATATAATCATAATCATAGCAACTGTAACAAAATATCATGGAAGACATTTATTTGATTTTTTCCCTTTTCTTGATACATCAAACAATGATGTCACAGCTAACAATTTCAGAAAGAACTATCACTGTATACAATTCATAAAAGACTTGGGGGAAAAAAATGGACATTAAAGTTTAGTTCACATAAATAAAATACTGTTTGAGTTGTGTTAAGCACCAAAGATTCAAATCTTTATGAGGTCGGCAAGTTTTCCCACAACAACTTTTAAGATCAGATACATGGATTCAGATGACTGTCATTGTTACAACAAAGTTGTAAAGACTTGACTCTTATAGAGATTTATTCCTCTGGGCTCAACACAGACTGAGAAGGAAGAGTAAAACAAACATTAATAAATATGTCTGGTAAGTATATAAATATGTATAAAACAGAAAAAAGCTAGTATTTGTCTTTTCTTTAGATGAACAGGCAATGTTAAGTAAAACACCTATTGAATTATGATGTGCACAGGACATAATGACAAAGCAAGGAATATCATCACCTCCTGATGGTAAAAACAATGTCGCCACGTTTGTAATGGAAAAGTGAACCGGTGAACCTAAAGTGAGAAAAGGACTATCTGTTGAAGTTGGGATCCATGAAGGTCGTCAAATAGACCAAACAGGTTTTTAAAAAATTATTATAACTTATCAAAATCATCATGTGTATTTCCTGTATTTAAATTTGATTATTTCAAATCAGACCTGTCTTCTAATGTAGACCGTTCTGAGAGACCAGCAGTTTGGAGTCAAATTCATTGACCTCAAGTCTCAATTAGTGTGTCTGTTCATCATTGCCAAAAGGTTAATGACATTTACTATCCTAACAATGAGAAGACTATTGAAAAACTACAAATGTCTCTGATCCTTATCTTAGTCTCCTTTTTGACCTACCAAATAAAGAAAATAATAATTTACACTATACTAGATCCTCAACAACAAAAAATATATATAAATACAAAGTATCTTTTCAAAAACTCATTATTGACACAATTAGAAATAAAATATCTCCACAAGACAACTTGCGAAATTAAGGACAGAAAAAATTTTGTAAATGCTAGAGCGTTCACGTTACAATATGAAAACGTTTTGGTATTAAAAGAACCAACAGATTGGAGCCTCCCCACCAGCTGTAGTGAGCCACGTGGTGTGGTGTACAAACAATCATCATACAGATTCATGTGAAGATAGTGAGGGGGTGAATTGTCTTTGGCATTTCCATTTATCCTCAATGGTCGTAGTATCACGAAGTGTAAATGCGATAAAAATACCCCAATGTTGATACTCTGAAGCAGTTATCATACATATAATATGAGAAATAGTTGAAGTAGCGCTGTACCAACACAGACATAATACGAAGAGAGAAAATGTCATATCGTCTGAAAATTTCTTGTCTCATTCAAAGTGCCCTCTGTGAGTAATAAAACAATCAGAAGACAATCATGGTTTATTTCGTTCCCGAATGGAAGCATCTTGTCGCCACAAATCTTTACAGTTAAAAAAAAAATTGAGGTATATGAGAATTTGACTAAAACATTATAGCAGTAACAGTGGGCATATTGGGTAAGACTAGATCGAGTAATGACTACATACAGGATACACAATGGCAGTGATTAGTGAGATGAGAAAAGAATGGTGTTGTAGTAACTGACTGGACTTTTCTTGCATGGGAGGCTTAAGCCTTCAGCACGGAGAATAACTGTATCAAGTTACCTTTAGCACCATGCGTCGAATCTACATTTACCATAAGTTATACACTAGATGCCAGATTAACTCCCCATTTGAAACAACTCTTTTATTTTACCATTTTACCAACATCTTGGAAGCATACAGACATATATCTCACCTGTAATATAATACTTTAAAAAAACAACAAAGCAATCTTCTGATTCCACCATTTGAATTACCAAACCAACTTCCTTAAAAGACTGCTCTGAGTTTTAACTAAATTAAAGTGATAAAACTCAGCTTCCCATAGTCCTTCATATGGGTTTTGATTAGTATCTCACTTGAAAAATACATATCATGTGTGACAATGTGGTGAATTCAAGCAAATGTAAAAAACATTAAAGCAACCAGCATTTTACCCAACTGTTGAGCCATTTTCATTGAATATTTTTAAATTTTTGGCTCAACACCGTCAATGTCCATTTAAAAACACATTTTTGTGTGGATTATACTGAAACAAAACATTGCTCAAAGGCACAAAAAAATGTTAATCTCCGGTTTCCAAGAACATTCAGGCTTTGGATGTCACCAAATTTTGGCAGCCATTTTCTAGCTTAATTTTCCTGACACCAAGACACCTTCACCTCCTTCAGTGGCAAATGTCCCGATTTTTTAAATTTCACTTTTCATTGACAAAAACGAAGTTACTGATAAACATAAGGGGAAAAAAATCAGTTTCGTTTTGAGCTGAGAAAATACTATATTTTTAACAAAATATCCCCAAAACAGAAACAGATCAATTGAGGGAAAACAGGGCGTATAATTTACATTCATTGGTGCTAATATATCGATATTTTAAATTTGCTTTATTTTTCAAATGAAAAGCAAGTCCTGAAGTATTGAACTGGGTCCCAAACCTGCAAAACTAGTTGTTTTTGGGGTTGTTGTTTTCTTTTAAAGGAGGAGTTGGGGTGTTATTAAAATTAGTCTGAACAGGAGGGGTGGGTGTAAGGGTCTTTAATTTTTTTTTTAATGCTGGTGCGACATTATCCTTTGGCATACAAGAATTTTTTTTTCCCTCAGAAAGCAAAATATTTTTAGGGGGTAGCCTTGGGATATAATATTCACAATTTCTTAAATCTGTCTTTTCAGTCTCTTCAAAATTTTGCACGACTGTTTGTAGGTGTTTGCCTGTACTTATTTCAGAGGGATTTGTCTGGAAACCAACAAAAGCGCTTGTAAGAGGTTTTTAATAAAATTTTCTTAAAAAAATAAAACAGGATTTTTCTTGGCAATAATTTCGTCCACTCATATAAGCTACCTGCCAAAATTTTACTAAATGAAACACCCATAATTCCCTCCGTTATTAGCAAGTATAATGTTCTAGAGAATACTAACAGAAATTTTTTATGATTATGTCGTAATGATGAATGAGTAATTTGATACACCAGAATATATCATTTTGCCTGCCTGAGACCCCTAACTGACCCTGTGTAGGAATTGAAGAGTCAATTAGTCCACCAGACTAAATTAGTTGACCCCTGTTATCACCAATAAATCTCTCAAAACTGTATTCAATTTCAGCTGTGCATAAAGAAGTTCTGTTGTCTCAGTAGTGTCTCCCCTTAATAAGTTTAGTCCATGCCAGTACCGTACTCAATTTTCTCTATATTCTGGATCAGTTTTGTCAGGGTGGGATATCTATGAGACACAGATTTATGAATAAGAAACATTTTCACTCAAATTTCTTCTTTGGCAAGATATTTTAAAACCTTGAACATATGTATGCCAGTACTTAAACAACCTCGCAAGAACTACTTACAGATCATTCTATTGTGATAACTTATGCTAAAAGAAGATTCATTAATGAACACGAATGCTTCAATGCTTCAAAAGTAGCAGGTATTTATAGAAAACTGCGATCATCTAATCATTGCTCAACGATGCAAAAGGAGTTGATGAAACACTGGCAAGACATTGGTCTTTCTTGAACAAAATTAAATGCTCCAAAACAAAAGCAGATGCAAAAAACCAACTCAGGAAGATACGAAACTGATCTTTCTCTCTTTAAATTTCAATAATTTCTCGAATCATTTATTTTAAAAATTAATGTCCCTCTGTAACTTTGCCTGGTGCATCAAGATTAGTTCAGCATGGTGAAGAAAAAAAAATCATACACTTTCAAAATATTTATGACAGTACAGATTGTATGCATCCATAAACTATTTTATAATTTTGACATTCGGGTTGAATATCTATTGACTGGATAAAAAGAGATCCTAAAGACCCTGCCTTTTTTTTAAAAAAAGAATATAACTATTTATGATAAATCTCTATTTTTGAAACTAAAAAAAAAATTGAATAGGCTGACCAGAAAAGACAGCATTATGATTGCAGACATTTACCTAAGTTAGAGGTCACATATTTGCGTCACGGAGAACTTGAAAAAGACAGATATGCAAATTTACCTACAACAATACAGCTGCATTCATTATTGCACTCTGGACAACTACATGAAATGGAAAACACGAATATCTCAGGAGAACAGAAAATGTTTGTGTGCCAGACAACTAGATTTTGATTCTTCAAGTGTTTCAAACTTAAACAGTATCATCAACAGGGTATTAAAAAGCTGCAAAACAGCAAACATTGTATACAAAGCTATATCCAGTCAGTAATATACATATAAACTTGTGCATCATGAATAGCAGTATATCGTATCATGTGCACAGATACAATTGACCTGTATGTTTGTGTAGCAGCAAAATTAACGACTATGAGTGAATTCATTGAGTATGTAGTCAGTAGTGTCCAGATTACTGCAAAGTAGTCACTTTTTGTCTCCCTGTGAACAGGCTTGTTGTTAGGAGTACACTATCAGGGGAAAAAAATAATTTACAAAAAGGGGGGCAAATTTTACTTTTAAGTCTAAAGCGTATTCATTGCGAAGTGACTCTTACAAAAAACAATCCTTATGTTTCCACAGTATCTCGTCAGTGGCAATTCCTTCTCTCCTTGTGACAGTGGACCATATTGGAATGAAGATCTGAGGCTGAACATACTTTTGTTTTGTGATTTCTAAAGTGAGCCTATGCTCTTATACTTACTTTAGTTGCAAAATTGCAAGGTAATGCACATTGGCCCTTTGGGGTAATGGAATTTCTGTTTCAGTCAAAACATCAAAGAACATACGAAGCAATGATGTAAGATTAGGTGAGAAGAATACTATTACTGGCACATTTGTACAAAGTTAATAATTCAAGGAAGAACTGGATGTACGAGTCTTGAGATTCAACATAAATAAGCAGTTTAAAAAGTTATAAGTCCTTACGAACTTAAATCAAGGGTTGAACAGACTTAAAATTGTGCACACATTTTTACTAATTTCAGTAACGAAATCACAAGTGAAATTTGATGGCAAAACAAAACAAAATAAAGAGTTGGCATAAAAGATAAAGGGAACAGTATTCAGAAAAACTGTCACTGACAATTAAAACGACTTTAATTCATCTCAAAGTAACAAACTCAGCCTAGAATGATAGGAAGAAATTCAACAGGATTACCTCTTCGGCAATGAATACAACATGAGTGGGCAAGATTGCGTTGCAAAGAAAAGAACTTTTGCCAGCAAAACAATGTTTTGATTAAGCCACAAGTGAATGCATTAATCCAGCATCACTGATTCATTTTAAATTTAAATAAGATTAAAAAATGAATAATAGTATTTCTTTTCAAATCAGTCCTCTGCTAGAGTTGGGTTGATGACAATTGGCAAATCAACTTCTCTCTCACACTACATTAGGAAATCTTCAGCAAAATTTAAGTGTAGCTTTTTGCTGTGGTGTTCATGACGTTGACCATGGTCCACAGAATTTTGATCCATTTTTTTGGAAAGTTGAATAGCTGCGTAAAAACAAGAAACCATATTCTTTCCAAAACTGCATGACTGCTTTCTGTTACTACAGTTTTCTTCTTTCAAAACGTCAAAAAAAGGAGAAAAGTAAAGTGAGTCCATAACATTTTTGTAAAATGTTAGTTTGAATGAAAACATTAACACTGGACTGTGCACTCACACTGTGAAAGTGAGTTCATAACAATCAATGGACAACTAATGACTGTAACAACATTCTGTACATATAAAAATCCATGAGAAGGGAAAAATATCATTATGTATATGCAAGGAAGAATATACAGACATATTGACTAGATAAATTTGTTCAAAATAAAGCTTACAGTTTGAGTATTTGTAAACAGATTCCTGCTCCAACTAATCAGCCTGCATGTCTTCTATAAGGTTCTAGTCCTGTGCAACTTGAAATGTTTGTGTTGCAAAGACTGAGGAAAGAAGAGCCCAAGCTTTTTGATAATATTTTACTGGAAGAGGCAGACATTGGCAGGATCAGGCATGAAGAATGAGCTCATATGCAAAATGGCAATTGTGCAACTCAGTGTTTATACTAGATCCAGTATAGATTGTTTTCCCTACAGGAAGAAATTACAACTTCTATGCAATGTTTTCACAATAGGACAAATTTCCTTCGGAAGTATTTTCTGACTTAACAGCAACACATTCTCTCAACTTTTTCCTCCTACGACTCACACTCTACTTACCTCCTCCTTCTCTACCTATGTCACTGACCACGTTTACAACAAACCTACTTCCTATCACTCAAAGTATTTGCATACACAACTGCATTCTATCTATCAAGCACACTTTCAACAATTCGAGCCCCAAAGTAAAAGCAGCAAGTCTGGCATAAAAGAATGAGTACATACCAAGAGTAAAACACATAAGTTCTCAGTCACACAATACTCTAAGCTACTGGTCTTCGTGGTCTCCTGATCCACACTGGTTAAAAGCAGACACCAATCAGCCCACAAGCTAATGCCATACACCAATGACATTTTGACATAAAGCAGAAACATCAGATAACGTAAAATACTGTTTGGAAGTCAAAACTGAAAGATGAGAAGGTCGGATCTGATTTGGTGGCTGTTACTGCGGAAGTCAGTGCCTGCCCTGCCGTTGAAAATTGTATTGAAGCTTGCTTCGAGTCCTTCAGTGTCCCTTTTCCCATAATGCTTTTCTTTTATAACAAAGTAAAGACATGTTCAGAATGCCCCGGGCTAATAAGGTGCAAACCTTTGGTACCCTCCTCGATACACGGTTGCCTGAGAAGAACAGAAGAAAAAAAATCATATTTGCACATCAAACTCAAAAATTTCAATTTATTATTCAAGAAAAATTGTAAAGATCATTATTTAGAAGGAGACAATCACCAATCTGCAAGTCTAAAAATCACTACATACCAATTACATGGGTATGAAATAAAAATTAAACTGCGTTTTTGTCAGAGTAGTGTTTAAAAAATCCAAAACTTGATTGTTCTCCTTGTAAAAACACCACGGGAATCTTTAGAGTAAAAGTTAGTGAAAGATTTTATTTCAGTCAGATGTAAAATTACTAAAGATCAAAAGAATTACTCAAAGTGCTATGAAATTGTAGACATTTTCAGAAAAGGACAGGAAATAATATAAGAAAGGTGTATTCTAAAAGACAACCAATGGGAGTGGTAGAATTTCCTTCAGTTTTTCATAATGACAAATCCACAATATTACACGACCCCAGTGTTTTCTTCTTGTATCTCCATTTTTAGTAACAGTGAAAACAGTTCATAACAAAGAGTTAGCTTAAGAAGATCTTACCGAGCTTAAGAAGATGTCACATTTTCACTTTTTTTTTTTGTTGAGATGACAAGAAAGCACTGGGGTCGCGATTATCTCTTCCAATTTTCATGACAGATTTATAATTTGGCAAATTAAAAAACCCAAATAAATAAAAACACACTTCGAGAGAGAAAAAAAGAAACAAGTTACATAATTAGTTCTTCCAATTAAAAAAAGATCAATGTTATTTTCAATGAATTGTGAAAAACACCAAAAAAATTACTTACCCCATAGCCAGCAACTGGCCCAATACTGTGTCCAATATAAGGTTCAGCAGCATATTCTCGGCCATAGCTGAAACGTGAACAGAATGTTAAGCAAGAGAACATACAACATCTAATTTCATAGTCAGCAAACTGCAAATTTTCATTCTTCGTCTCATACACATTCTTAACAAGGTTGTTAGATCAGAGCTATGACCGGAGCTGAATGAGAGAAAATAAAATACATGGCATACAAGAAGAATTACTGTATCTTTCTACACTAGCTATAGGTCTAGAAAGCTCTCAATTCATGCAATGTCATAAGTGGTAGATGCATATCGACCATTCCAACCAGATTTGATGCAAGATTTTACACAATAAGATTCAAGTTCCCAAAATTGCTTGCCTCTATTTCTCTGAGTCAGTCTGTCCACTTCAAAAGAACGACTCTTAACTCATTCGCTATGCCCCCCGGCGGCTCGAGAACCGACGTTCAATTTTAGCTTGGTTTCTATTCCAATCCACATATCCATGTTAAAATAAAGGTCATAATATAATGTTGACTTCCGGGTCAAGCGTTTCCACCGAAAATCGGAAGTTTTGATTCAGTTTTGAAACACGATTTCGTAGTTTATTCGACTTTGTTTTATCGCGAAGCCCAAATTATAGCCCAGACACCAGTGTTAGTACTTTTACACAACAAAATGTATCATTATTTTGCTCAATAAAGAAATGTATGACTCTTCTTTATAATATTGATACTATTGGACGCAAATTGCCGGTGCACTGTAATATTTTTGAGTGCTAGATCTAGGCCTAGATCTAAATAGTCAAAATATTTTTTTCTCCCCAAAATCACTACTTTTGGGTGAAATTAATCAAAAAGTACCACTCAAGACATGTATAGGTTTATTCCAAATGCAATTCTGAATAATTCCATATAAGATACGCGTATTTTTCTCTGTTTGTGATCCTTTTTTCAAAATTATTTTTAAAAAATATTTTTTTTCAATATCGGATGTTACGATCCAAATGTACAAATATTATGGAATGTATGTAAATAACTGCACATTTTTCAATATTTTCCTGTTCTATATACAGTTATGGTTATTTTGAAGTATCATTTGACTAGGTGCAAACATATTTTTTTAGTTTCACCTGAGATTATAAATTTTTTATTTTCCAATTTTATCCGCATCCAATCACAATTGTGTTGCATAATCGCCTCTTACAGGAACCAAAGTTGAAAAATACGCAAATAAATAATGCAGATGTATTCTACAAACCATACTGAAAATGTTGGTATATAATATGTTGATATTTATTTGAATTTATGACCCCAAAGACCTGTGAACTGCGCACTAGTCATCATCTCTTTTCGCCCTCCCGAAAAGAATTCGTCCACAAGCCGAAAATAATACGTAGCGAATGAGTTAAAATTATAAAACGTCTTAGGTATAGCTAGGGGCAATTGTCTCATTTATGACACGTTTCATAAAATTATATATGGAGAACTCTTCAAGAACATGAATCATTCAGTCTTTCTATCCCTTTCAACAAAGCAGTGTTAGAGAGACTCCATTCTACATACTTTCAAGGCCATTGCTTGTTGGTACATAATCATTGAGGACCGAAAGCTCCAGCGTTTCAAGTTATTCTTGCCATTAGAGAAATTCATTTGACTCTCTGGCTACTCCCATTCTCTACCCAAACCAGATCCTGGAGCCGTGGCTATTGGAATGTGTGTCCATAATACTTTGAGAGTCAGTCAAGTCTGACTGACTTATATATTTTTTAAATGTTTGTTGTTATGGAAAAGAAGAAACAAAAGTCAGATAAATGTAAACTCTTGAAAATAATATGAACAAAATGCGGAAAATATGGACCTTTTTACTAGTCAAACAACTGAAATATCAGATTCACTTACCGTTCTAAACATAAACTGGGTCATCATATTATTATATTTTCAAAATTACTTTATAGGAAAATAACATCTGGTAGAGAAACAGGTTCTCAGTATGTGATGTATGGGTTCAACAAACCTTCGAACATAATTAAGGCTTTGATGGGTTCCCTATTAAAAACGAAAAAAAAAAAAAAATCCCAAACCCAAAAAAACCCAAAAGCAAGCAGCCCACTTACCCGGCAGCTGTGTAGGTGACTGGAGTAGCTACAGCTGCAGCTGGGATAGCATATCGGGCAGCTCCTGTAGGGTAGCTGGCTGCGGCCGCTGCAGCAGGATATGGCTGACTTGTGACTAACTGTTACGGGCACAGAAGTACAACAATTAGGCTGCCACATTTTAAACTTGTTCAATTCGCAATTTTTTTTTTTTAATTTCGATTTGCAAGAATAATGAACCCAAATACCATTTAAAATTTTATAAAGAACCTAAGTAAAAATGTTTTAAAATTTAATGAACAATAAAAATAAAAAGCTACATATAAAAAGAGGACACTATTTTGACATTTAAACATAACATTTTAACCCCAAGACTTATTCATGTTAACAAAACCTAAACAGCTAGTGACAAATAAGCTTCATCAAGTAGCCATATTTACCTGATAGCGGGCTGGATCATAGGTCAAGAAAGGATCTTGATAAACACTCCTGGGAACATAAAGAGAAAAAGAGACCTCTGATGTAAATTCCTATAGATTTACTTTTGGTTCAATTATGAAAAACACTTACAACCTGGCACAGATAACTCAAACATTACGGGGATTGACAAACCTGTTTGACGTATCCATAATAATTCAGATTAACTGATCACGAAAAATTATAGAGATTCCAGAAAGGAATCGCAAATTGTGCAAGCTATCCATGATTTCGAGTTTACTGAGTTTGTGCCACTAGTGCTAAACTGTACCTTCATTATTACGGAAGGCACATAAGAGTGTTTTACAGAATACCCTCTGAGAAGCCTACCTATTATCCATACTTAATCACAATAATATAAAATGAATGACAAAGACACCATGTTTTCTGTACTTAAAGGAGACAAAGCTTTTTTCTTTTCTTTACACTTCTCTATCACCCCTATTCAGCACAAGTTGTTTCTTCAGAATCAGCTCCGTACTTATAAAAGTAGAGCATAAAATTTTGCATCAAACTTTGGCATCAAACTTACACTAACAAAAGTCAGCATATAAGTACTCAAATACACTTATAAAAGTTAAAAAAGCATAGGAACATACAGCTTATTAAAGTCAAAAGTACAGCATCAGAACTTATAGTCTTACACCAACAAAAGTAATAAGTAAAGCACTAGAACTTACGCAGCATAGGGGATTGCAGTGGGCGGAGCAGCAATTGGCGTTGGGTGCCTCAGACCTGCAGCAGCTGCAGCTGCAGCTGTGTACACACCACCGAGCCCTCTGGCTGCCACAGCTGCAGCAGTACGACCCCGGGTCAAGGCAACTCCGCGTAAAGCTGCAGCAGCTACCGAATCTAAAAAGAGGATCATCAAATATTTCACTCCTCCGTTACTGACACGCATACATACTCAAAATTATAGTATAAATATTATAACATAGCTGGCAAAACAGACTGCAAAGCATACAGGCATGTCCAACAAAGGCTACAGCCCTGGTTTGGTCTCTAAGTCTCAGCCAGGGCTATGCAATGTAATGTGAACAGGACTGCACCGATCCAAATGCTACTTAGTGATTCTAGTATTTTCATACCATTCAAATTATCATTCATCCACATGGGAAAGAGCATTCAATGACATCAGGCCATCACAGGCTTATTCGTAACATTCCAACTACACCTACAAATTCTTTTGTTATTTCACCAACATCCAGCAAAACTGTCAACAAACATTATTCACAAATAGCCAATGGCTAGTCCAGAATCTCCAATGCAAATTGAACTATGCAGATCATATATTCATGGGTGGGAAAACTCATTTTGTAAAAACAAAACTTTCAAAGCTATTCTCAAAAACGAAACAAATTAAATTTAAAAAACGTTCATAAAGATGCACAGAAGCAAAAGCTTTCAAAGATGAAAACATTCCCATTCGTTCTAGGGAACGTATTGATTTCATTCCAGAGAACAAGAATCAGGAATGGAAGGTGAACAACAACGAAAAAAAATCTGTCAGTAAATTTGAGAAGGATGGAAGAAGGAAAGCCGTATACATGCTTTCACATGGAAATTTTGAGGTGTAAAAGAAAAATCCATACTCCTGCAAAGCTTTGATGGGATAGGGTTCTTGTGTTAATTTAACTCTTTTCAAACATCTCCAGAAGGGGAAATATACACAATATGCCAAGCTATCAAATTGACCAAAAATCAAAATGCAAATGACACTGATAATATGCAAAAGAACAAAGAGGAAGACAGGATCACGCTGACCATTTCACCTTCCTTAAAGTTAAATACATATCCTTTACAAGAAAATAATAAATTAGCCTTCTGACCCCTCAACTTTAGTTTTATGTAAACATTCAAGATTGTAATGTTATCCAATCATCATCGGCAAAGAGGCTCTTTATTCATTCTCATAGTCACACACTGCTCCACGACTGATTGAGAGGTGACTTACTACAACTATAGATTGTTCACTTTCACCTGTCTGTGGTTCAAACAGGAATAAAAACAAATATCTCTCTGATTAATTTCCTGAGGTCTTTGCGCCAGAGCCTTAAAGTAGAATGACCAATAGAATCTTAAAGTCCATGAATGAAAGCCACTGTAAAATAAAAGTTCCAGCACATTTTCTATGATATTAGCCCCAAATCGATTTTTAAACATTATAGGAGATTTAGAGCATAGGCCTACATCTAAAACATCAAAAGTTGACTTATTTACATGAACACCACACTTTCATAGACAGTTGAGTACTTTTCCAGACTCAGGTGGTGACTTTTTGAGGTTTTTGTGAGGCCTTTTTTTGAGGGGAGAGGGAGGGAAGACTATGTGACTGCACTGTAATAAAGGGGCAGTGGGATGTCACTGCCTCAAATTGAGCAATTTGTAACCTTGGTTACTGTAAATCCTTTATTTCAGTGATCCTGTGTATACACCCAAAAGGGTGGTGTTTAACATAGGGCCTACACCCAAATAAAATCATTTTTTTGTTACTGGATCGAAGTATTTTCTAAAATATATTTTTGTTTGGTCACCAGCCTACAGTAGTGTCATGCAAAGTTACAAGAGCATTGGTAAATAAATAATTGAATTAAATTATTTTTAAATATGGAAAGACAAAAGTGAACAAACTATAGCTATGACAGTAATTTGAATGAAACAATTTGATCAAAGGATGATATAAGGAAGAAAGAGCAAAGTCAATCTTTCTCTCTCTGTTTTTTCTTTCTTGGAAAACATAGAGGGTGATAAAACTCATATCACATCTTTCAGGGATATCTTTGTGTGAATAGAAGAAAAGAGGATCCGAAATACAGTAAGCATGTTTCTTCAAAGTCCATGCAGAAGATCAGAAAGAAATAGAGGCCTACTGTAAAAGGCACCTATGACGCTTATAAAAAAAGAATAGCAGCCAATGGGGGGGAAAGTTCTGAGGCTATCAAAATCCAACTCTACAATCTTCTACAAAATGGAGGCCTACTGAAGAACACTAAAGACATACAGTGGAAAACTTATTCAGAATAGAAAGGAAAAAGTCTTTTCTGTTGCAGAAAATCGTTGCTTCATCATAATCATCTACTACTTCTATGTACCTCATTATAAAAGTAAAGATAAAACAAACAAAAAAACAACAAAAAAAGACAACAAAAAAACAAAGGACGTGAATGCATGCTTGCAATGAACAAAGGAAAGAAAATGGGAAATAGAGTATTCATAGGGAAGACTGATTCCTTACCGGTAGACAGTGTGGGTGCGGTCACCTTTTTGGTCATGACCCGTGCAGTAGCATTGTTAACCTAGCACAGAATCATGGTTTGGGTCAAAACAAATGCGAGACAAAATGCAAACACACAAGTTCTTCTCTTGAGAGACAAACCAAGACCACTGAATATATGCAAAATTGTTTGCTCTATCTCTTTTTTTGTCTTTTTTTTTTTTGTCAGTTAAACAAACTAGGATATGGAAATTTAGAAATGTCTGGAGAGTCTCTCAAGATAAGGTCTCATGACATTGTTAAATAATCTTACAAGACAAATCAAAGGAAAACCTAAGGCCAGTTTTAGCTTGCTATGACATACTTCAGAGGCAGCGTTAACTCAATTGTCCAACCATATTTCAATTCAACATTTTTCACTTCTAGCACCAACCCAGCACATGGTAAGTCCAACATATTTTCTCTTCTTTTCACGTTTCACATTAAAAGTCATAACAAGCTAAAGGTGATATTTAACCAATATCATTTTGCATTACAGCATTAAATTTACAGTTGTCTTCTGATAAATAATTTAAATTTAAATCTTAATAATAGTGAAAAATAGATAAAAATACCAATAATACAATTCTGGTATAAGGCAATGGATTTTTCATCTTTAGAATTAAATCAAATATATCACATCTGGCCATTGAGCTACAAATCCAATTAAAACATAAAGTTCTAAACTCCACTAATACAGTTCAAGGCCACAAGAGGATGAAAAACAATGCATTTTCCTCCATAGTAAGGAGATAAAGTGAAATATTCTGCTTCCTCTCTAAATATTTTTGTTTTCAATAGCAGCAATATCAGAAATATTCACAAAATTTCCCAAACCCAACAAACTTTTGTTTTAACACAAACCCCCAAAAATGAAAACTTTTGTAATCACAGGGCCAGCAGGCATACACAAAACATCATTTTTGTTTATCGCGGTTTATTTTCCATGTGCAAAGCATTTTTTTCCCTCCACAAGCACTTCACAGCCATGAATTGTATTCAGGAAATGCTCTCCATCCCATCAACCTGCCTCAAAATGGCAGTCCCTCACTCAACAAAACCAAACACCTTCAGTGAAACCAAATGTCCAAAGTTTGAGCTTCTTTAAAAGGAAAGGAAAAAGGTTATTATGGCCTTAAATATGTGGAGATTAGAACAATATCTCTATGCATATATGAATATTTATCAATTCTATTCCTTCCCACACTAGAAAAAGTTAAGATAGCCCACCCACAAAACAGAAAAAATCTATACTTTTGGAAAACGTAAAAACTAACGTGGACCAAAATGTTTTTCTTTTCTTCCCCAATTTTTTTCTCTTTAAAGTTTTCTTTTAAAAAATACTAGTCTCCCAAAACTTGAGAAACAATTAGTAACAACTTTGCAAAATATGACCCAGAAATGAAAATTACAGCATAAAGAAATGCCATATACACGAAAGAGGGATAATGCACCAAATATCTACAAATCAAGAAGAAACTTTTATATTGTTGCGATGGCGTGCGATCAGAATAGCTGGGCAGTTGGGAGCATTGCACATGTAAAAATGCACAACAAAACATACTTGGCCTACTTAGGATGGCCTTACTCGTCATGTGAACTCCTCTTCCTGGCCGAGTGGGAATTTTCCAGAAGGAAAAAATAAAGTATGTGGTAAAGAAAAAAAAAAAAACACAGAAGGAAGAATGTTTTTGCGTGTGTTTTATGTATAGATAGAACCCTACGATGCTTCTTTTACTCTGAACGACTCAAAAAGACGGACGGTTAACACTGAAGACAAGACACAAAACTTAAAAGAAGAGGGATCTAAGGTGGAAGTTTGACTCATACAACATTGATGTAGCCATCAAAAACATAAAGTAACAAACAAACAGACACGGAAAAGATGGGTGATTCTATTGAGGGAAAAAAGAAATAATATCAGGCATTTCTCCATACTGCAACACATCAATAGTATACTTAGCAATGGTTTCAGTTGTGCTAGCACAAAATGTAAAGTAGCATGCAGGCACCTCAATCTTTCGTCCCTCAACCACAGTGCCGTTCAATTTCTCACGTGCTCGGTCGGCATCACCGCTATTTGCGAAAGTTACGAAACCGAATCCCTGCATGCATAAGGAAAACAAGGGGCATGCATTAAACGTGCAATGAAACATGAACATCATCATTATTATCAGTCATAAATAACAATATGAAAAACAAGGTATTATCTACGGTTTAGATGAAATGTCATCACTGCGTCATTGTTAGAAAAAAAAAAGAAAGATTGTCAGTCTTCAGTCAGTCTGAATTTGAAAAAAAAAACAATGAACGTCAAAGCAACTAAACAAAGTGGATGTGAATAGTTATATACTTCTGAAAAAAAAAAAAGGAGTCAAATAAATCATGAATCCTATCATGTGTTTGCAATGTGTGAATTTGGAATTGTGGGTATCACATGCTGTTTTTGTGAAAGAGCCTCTCTCTCTTTTTTTGTTTTTTGTTAAGATGTTATTAGTTCTCATTGCAGGGCATGTCAACATCTGTTTGAACAGGAAATTCAAAACGTGACATGAGCAGGGGAAATTATACAGCATGCTTACTGGACTAAGCGACATGCTTCCATGCCACTGGGCACAATTTTCTCCTACAGTTTATTTGGGGGCAGAAGGGGAAGTAAACCTGGAAAGGGAACAACACAAGGATCATCTACACAGATTTTTACTGACAAAACAAAGACTCTCCTTTTGATTAAAAAACAAAAAACAAACACCCCCTGTTTGTTATGCCACTGACCAGATAAAGATGACACCCTATCATCAGCTTCACCCTCAATCAACACAGCTCTAGTACAAGGTAGGCCCTACATCTTATTTTGAGCCAACCGAACTTGTCTCCCACCCCCCTCCCCACCCCCACCCCCTTTTGTTTTTATTCTTCACACACATAAGTACACACCACCGTCACTCACTCATCATGGCTACTAAAAAAAATACATGTACCACGTTTCAGGGAAAAGTTTGATCACACAACACGCACGGATCAGGGAAATTCAGTTTGGATTCGGCTTACTGGATAATAAAATATTCAATTCTTTCCACAGATATTTTGAATTCTAAAAAGATTCACTCCAACGATGGGCATAAATTACTTATTTCAAATTAACCTTAACATTCCAAAATCATACTGATTTTCCCCACCAGTCAAACGATCACCACAACCCATGAGTGTGGTTTAAATTGCATTCACGATAAACCAATGATTTGTTTACAACTAACGGTCATTTCCTACATTATTTTAATGTCAGAATCACAGCTCACTCCTGCACACACACAAAAATGTTGATCTTGCTCGTCACGAAAACAACTTCGACACTCTTGTTTGAAACTGCAAGTCAACATGCACAGAGTTTTTGCGCAACATGCAAAAGTGTTTCAAAGAACCGCATTTGAATCTCTTTGCTTGAACTTGTCGTGGCCTTTTACTGAAAAGTTTTTTTTCGGAAACTTGATAGAGTTGATTTTAATCACTCTTTCAGGTATTGCAACACCTCCAAAACTATTGAGATTAATAGACAAAAATGTACACATTAAACGACGCTTTTGATACCTAAAGCATAAAATCTTTCTTCTTTTATTTATTTAACCCTTGGCTTAACCGAAATGTGTTTTATATTAAGTTGGAAAATATTCATTGTGTCAAAAATCCTTTAGAAATTTCGGCAAAATTTGAATGTTTGCTAGCTCAAACAGGTATACTGTTGGTGTCCATAAAAGTTTTGCAAAATATACTGAACGACCAGTGTAACAAGGGTCAGCCATGCACTGAAATACACTCATACTAAACATCAGTTCAAAAGGTTATGTAATTAGTATCACTACGGAAGAACTAGACCTTCTGACATTCGGATTAATCTGATGCACACAGCTAAAATTATTCGCCCAGCATATTTAGTCATTCCATACACAGTATGACACTAAACACTTCATTCACAAAACGAGACAGTCAAGCAGCAAACACAAATGCAAATATTACAATTGACAGTCTTCAGAATGCAAGAATGCCTTTTTCCTTGGAAGCACACTGCAGAGGGTGGCCAAGATTTAGTAAATTGAATGTTGTCAATAAATGCAGTCTAGAGCTACATCAATATTAAGCAACACACAAGTCATATTTTCTAGATGTTATTGGGAGTGGTGCGAGTGAAAACCTCAACTCATACAAGCAAAAGACAGGGGAAAAATTGGATAAATACCAAACAAAAAAAATAAGCATTTTAAATGAATTAAAATAAAAATGAGTCTGCTATGATCACTGGGTTAGAGTTTTTCAGAACTGAAATTTGTTTTAGTTCCCTTTCAGAAAGATAGTCCTTGGGTGAATGACTAGCCAGAAGCAAAGATCCAGACAGCAAAATGGACACAAACAGCCTTCAGCAATCAGTGCTGGGAATTCAATGGGCCAACGAAACCAGACAGACAAAGCTGAACTACAGAGGCTACAAAGATATTTGAAACGTTACTATTCACAAGAAAAATAAACTGTTCATAAAATGAAGACAATAACCAAACACAATAAAAAAGAGAAGACAATCAAGATATTAAAATGAAGACAGGAGGATACCAGAGAACAGATCTGAATGAAAAGAGCACAACCCCTAAACACACCAAGAGTAGGGGAGGTACACGAGTTAATCTAATGCCCACTGACAAATGCCACAACTATAAAAACTTATTTTTAAAAATAATAAAAACACAAAAAATAAACAGATAGGTTTAAGCAAATAAATAAACAAATAACAAATTAATTGGATAAATATAAATGAATACCTAAATAAAAATAGACAAACATTAGGAAAAAAGAATAAACCCTTTTTTCAGAAAACATCTAGCTGGAAATACGTTCATTTTTCACATTGATTATATTACCTGGCCTTACTGCTTTTTGCTCGGCAGTTTGTTTTCTCGTTCTTCAAAACATTTCAAACATTAATGTGAAGTGCTATAGATTCAGTCAAGTAGGCTATGTAGGGCCCTCACACAGAAAAGAGATTCCACTGCCCTGACACATCCTGCCCCTCATAATATATCAGGTACATCCCACAAGTCTACCAAAAGACTTTCTTTCCATCTTGTTTCATAACACCCTTTTTTTAAGAATTAAAAAAAATAATTGAATAAGTAAATAAAAATGAATGAATAAATAAATAAATATATATATATAAATAAATTAAAAAACAAATAAATAAAGAAAGAAACAAATAAAGAAACAAGTCCACAAAAATATGAGTTTTCATTCCTGTTAGGTGATCCATACCATTTGAGTGATAGCATACACTCGTTTTCCATCTTAGAGAGACAACACAGCACAACCTGATCACAACTGCTGATTACGTGACACTAGTGTTAGATCTGATGCAACACTCTTGGTTTTTAGAGCAAACACAGGCAGTTTTACTGTTATCTAGTTGTCTTAGCTTTTCGTTTTGGGAGTGTGAGTGTGTGTATGTACGTGACTGTTTGAGTGTTTGGGCGAATAAATGAGTGAAGAATGAATGGATGAATTCAACGAGGATGCAATGATAAGTAAATTAACAAAATTAAATAATTAAAGTAAGTATCAATCAAAATTTCAATCAACAGCACTATATAAAATGAGGAAGGAATGAATATGGGATTTATTTATTATTGAGCCAAAATGATGACAAGAAAAGATGATCATCTATCTCCCTGAAAAAACTTTGAAAGATAATCTCTTGTGTAAAAGCAACAATCTTGACTGTCCTCATAGTGTAGAAAATATCCTTCAGATATGAGGGCCTCAAAATGTTTTCAAACTGGATCAGTGGTGCCTTATCAAATAGTTCATTCTGATACTTTTTGGCTGGAACATATCTTCTTTATGCAGTGATGATTCTATTATTTCCTGAAGAGAAAAATTTACGCCCGCCCCTATACATAAAATAAGTTATTTTGTAACATAATTCCTGCTACAGACCTAACTATACAGAAAGACGAGAAATATTTAGACCCCGACTTGGTTCACACTGTGAACTTCATCAAGTGTATCAAATTCATAACTCGTCATGCCACAGTGGATGACACTTGGTGTATAAAGTAGTATTTTCATAGAATTTTACTTTAAACTGTACATCAACACAAGAAAATTATCTCCACCTTCGCTTTCATATAGGCATTCAGCACTGATCAACAGTTTCAAGAAAAAAGTGATTTGTACACATGGGTTTTCACCAGTCCATAACCTGTATCTCAGTGCTGCAGTGACTCAGCAAAAAATGAAAAATTAAATTAAGAAAAATTAACATAATAGGTATCTGATGCCAAAGTGAAATTATAAATGGAAAATCCTACACCCCACCTCTATCGAAGCTACAGAAATTGAGAAGGAAAACTAAGAAAGCAAAAGCATGAAATATAATAAGTTCTCTGTATACACACGTACACACACACGAAAACAAGGTTTCTTAATCTTTTAAACCAAAGTTCCCTTTCTATGCAATACATTTTTTTTTTTACACCAAGAAGGTTACTCCCACAAAACAGGAAGAATGGCGTCCACCTTTTGTCACAGAACCAAAAGAATCCATTTATTAAAGTCAACATCTATTCACTCCACTGACAAAAACTAATGTCATCAGACTTGTAAACATGCAGGCATCCTAAACGGTTTCACAATATCCCATATTCAAACATTCAAGGTCATTTTAAATTGTGCTTTAATCACCCAGACCCTAAAGTGAATTCAAAGACTCATTTTTTTTCCAAATTTAACAACTTCATAAGTTTGTATTCCTCTCCGAAAAATGTTCACTTTGATTTTGCCAAAAGTATTCTGAACACAGAATGCCATCACAATCAACTGAATTCAGAACGATAACATTCCCAAACCAAAAAAGAAATGCTGAGTCTCCACTGAAGCCACTCCAGGTGCTGAGTACACAAAATACTAAATTACAGTTATTTCTTAAGATTTCTCTTTAAATTTTTAAAAGGAAAATCAATAAAAACAATATTTTATAATACAAACTAACAATTTGAAGCAGGCATTCTTTTCAATTACTTATTGCTTTGCAAGAATTCAGCACCCCTGAGGCAACAATATACCAAAAAGGGAGAAAAAAACTAGATGAGTTATCACCAAAACACATCAACTGAAAGGACATCGATATCTCCTTTTGATCAGACGTAAACATTTTTACAACTACTATGCGCGAGTTAGTAAACTCCTCAGAGAAAATTTCTTCTCATTTTTTTCCAACACGTGTGTACTCACTAACACAAGATTTCATTTGAAACAAAAGCTTTTTGTCAAGCACATAGATTTGCACATTAACAGTAACTGGTTTTCTGTCTCAAACATGAAAGAAAAGGATGCCTCACTTTCTACTGACGAAGGCAAGTTTGACACTTAGGTAAAGCTGCATACAAACAATCAGAAATAAGCTATTTTTGCTTTGAATGAAAGACTCTTCTGTTTACATATTTCAAGTTGCAAGTAGTCTGTTCAAAATGTGTTTTTTTAATGTATGCAGTGTACTTGTTTCATTAAATTAACCATCAAACTTGCCTCGGTTTTTTTTTGTTTTTTTAACCAAAGTTCATATACAATAAATACATTCTTGATGCTCCCTCAGTCTGAACAGCCATGATATCTCTGATATCTCACCCCAGAAATAGATTTTTCACCTCTCTTGTGAGTTCGGACCTACGAATCACTATTCAGCTCATACAAAAGAACAACTGCCTATTTAGTCAACCCACAGTTGCAGATGACCATTTTCAGAGAGATTATTTGGAAAAGATTCCAACAAACCTTCATTCCTCAGGGGAAATGAATAAATGTTCTCACACAGACCTGAAGAACATAAGTGCAATGGCAAAGGTCTGTTATGAATTTCTTTTTTTTCAATAACAAGTTTGTTTTGGAAGCAAAATCCTTGCTCCAAGGATTTAAGAGGCAATGCTCAAGAAGAAACATAAGAAATATTCACCTCACGGCGATTTGAACCTCATTCTTCTTTGCTAAGTCTTCTACACTGACAACAGTGGCCTGTACCTACCAAATCCATGAGGATTACTTTATGACACAGACCAAATGGCAGAAATGAGTTGAGCACCAAGAATTTTAGGAGCATCAAGTGTCACAAGATGTAGCTTTACAGACTACATCTGATTCTGATGCAATTCTTACTCACCTTTGAGCCTCTTTCATTAAAAATTATCTCCACATCTAAAATTGTCCCAAATTGCTGGAATAAAGTAAAAAGAACAAAAATTACAAATTTGAGCACAAATTTGTTATATCCATACAAACACAAAAGGTCTTTATTAAAAAAACAGATCTTGAAAATGGAAAAATAAGGTCCTCAGCATAGCTGTTACTCGTCCTTCTCTTGCAGCAAAAAAGATAAAGGAAAAGGACAACTATGAGAAGTAACAAAAATAAAATTCATCTTTGCAAAATCTTGTTTACGAAAACTGAATTTAGTTTGCTTGTTTGAGCAAATAGAATGATATCTACACATTAACAATCAATTAGTGCATGGAAAAAGTAAGATAAATTGACAGAAATAACAGAAGAAAAAGAAAACAATAGGATCTGACAGCAGTACCCTACAATCCCCTGCACTGAATTTATAAAAACAAAATAATAAGCAGAAAATCAAATAGTCAAACCTGTTCATAACAGTCACTAAAGAGTAAAGATCAGAGTTTTGTTAAAGACGGGTGGCCACTGTGGAGAGCCCCTGATTTTAAAAAAAATAAGTACAGCCAGGTGTTTTTATTCCCCATCAACACAATTACACTCATGTAGGAGGCAGGCTTCCAACCCTGCTTGTCAGGGCTAATCCAGGCTGACAGGGATACAACATCCCAGCAGACAGACCGAGATACTCCATAAAAATTTCCCCCCACTCGAGAATCGAACTCGGATCTCTCGTGTGCAACAGAGCGAAGTGCTAAACTGCTACGCCACAGATGTCAGTGAAAGCAGCTGAGTTAACGCCACTTATAACAAATATGAAAAAGCTTCTTAAAAAAGAAATGCTTCCATCCGACTAAAACACCCCTAGAATAACAGTCATTCATAAAACAAAACTAACACTAGAGAAAAAAAACCCAAAAGTCTGACCCAGGCAGCCAATGGCTGCAGTAGGACAAACACCACACTGCCTGTCACATGACACATGGCACTTGCTGCACAGTGTTATATTACTGGCCGTCACAAAGGTAAGGCATGGGCAGAGGCAGTGCTCTCAGTCAGTACATTGGACACACACATTATTGGACAAACGCTGCACTTAGTGCCACCCCCTCGTGTTTAGAATGGTAGGTAGTTCCCGGCTAGGCAATATGTCCTTCTACTTCATTGCATTGATGGAATGAGAATGAACAGACACAGTCTGGGGACAGGTTGGCTGGAAAACTCATTAAGCAAGTAACTGCTAGGATGAGCATGTTTTGAGGCAGTCTTATCGCAAAAACGACACAAACCGTAGCCAGGTTGGACAGGGAACACTATAGATAGGTTAAAAGTATAATAGATGAAATAGAAGGGTATCAAGGAACAGTGGCTGTTAGCACAGGTGACTGCTATGGAGAGTGACTGCTAAGCATGTTCAACTGTATTGAGATTAACGAAAATGCAAATCTGTCTTATATAGTATTCATTAAAACATTGAAAAAGCAAAGATAACTGACCATAAATAGCGAGCAGTAATACACTCATTCATAGTCATGATATCTATAAATTGAGTGACATCCAGTAGCCTTTGACGACGAAAGGGGAACTCATTATCATCCAAGGAGGGAAAAAATCAGATGGAATTACAAATTAATAAAGTGAATTGAGAGAACATGCATTACTTCCATCTCAAGGGTGTACCTCACAAGAATAATACATCAAAAACATATAATCGATTTTAAAGAATACCAACCCCCAATAACTGCCGGAGGTCTGCTTCCCTGAATCTGAATGGGATATTTGACACATGTAATCTCTTGGGACCAGTATTTGGAGAGATGGCACCACTAGTAGGAGGTATCGCCGTCGCTTCACTCTCAGAGGAAGGAAGCTCAGTCTGAAAATGGACAGAAAAGACTGATCACAAACCTCCTTCAAAGTGTGAAATGTTTATGACTCAAACTTTGAAAACACAAAAAATAGAATGCACAGTAAATACCTGGTATATTGATGAAATAAACTGATGTCTTCAGCCTGTTAGAAGAAAAGGCATACACAACAGGAGTATGCTCAACTACTGCAAATAAAGATATACCTTCCTTCTAAATAAAGGGCTATAGTAACTCAGTTATTTTTTATAGACTGTTTTGCCACTTTACTGTACTTTCTCTCCTTTAATTAAAGGAAACTGGGACTGAGGGAAGGGAGAGAAAGAGCGGATGATAGAGATGGAAAGCAGAAAATCTAACAAACAGGAATGAAAAGACAAAGAGGAAAGAGGGAGCATACACCCTATTAATATATTTAAGCAAAACATTCTTTTGCGCTAGGAAGATATTGTTTGGGAACAATGATTTTAACAAAGCATATTCCTTCAGGGTAACTTTTGGATCATGGTAGAAACATATACACAGTGTTAATTTTTAAAAAACAAGTGAACAAGTGTGCATGTACAGCCACAAAATGAAGACAACTGTATGAAAGACAGGGGAGCACAACAACATTCAGTACCAAAACAAAGGTTAAAAAAAAAAATCTAAGCTGAAAATGCACCAGGAAATACCTAGGCATGAATTCTGTTGGCAAAAAAGCAGTCAGATTCCATGGCCCAACATATAGAACAAACATAATGTTAAAACTTTCTCAAAACTGCAACAAAGTCTAACACAGGTACTAACACCAAAAGTCATCAGGATTAAGTTTCTAAGAAAGATTCATGGAACAATGGAACAGTTCGGAGAAGAAAAATGTAACATGGACCATTCTCTAAGGACAGAAAAGCTCGTTTTTTTTTTTTTTAAGTTGGTATTGTTCAAAGTGGATTGAAACTTGAAATGAAATTTGAAGATCAAAACTGGAGGCCTGCTGGTACTAAGGTCGACATAAGAAGTAGAACATATCACAGTTGAAGGAGACAGAGTTGAGCGAGACAACCCAATAAAAATGATTCAGTAAATACAAACAAAGAGGACTCAGTTATGAAATGGGTCAGCACAGGGTTAAGCAGTACAGATTCCCGTTAATTCAAGAATAACTTTTGCAAATTTAAGATTATAAATGTTGAAATTTATAAGGTCAGACCAAAATGACACGATGATAGAATTCTAGAACTTCCCTTTTTAGATAAAAAAAAAGGGAATGGTGAGACAAGTGTACAATGCAGTTCTAAAACTAACTGAACATTTGGTGCTAAACATAATTTATCCATAAGCTTGTAAAGAAATGCGGTAAAATATTAGATAATTCTGAAGCAAACTACTAGGCAGTGAGAAGAGCACATTTAACACGGGAAATATTTGTCTTAATTCAAGCACCTGAAAATAAAAATCCTGCTCTTCCCCATAACTTTAGAGAACCAAAGAGAGGGTGACTACACATAGGTTGGACAAAGTAGGGACATACTACAACTGTACAAGAGGAATGAAAATGATGTGGCTGTGTTACTTGTTATGCAGCGAAAAAGTTGAGTATGGGGGGATGGAAAAATGGAAGTCACAACTCTTAGTAAAAGAGCATTTTTAAGGCCTTCTAAAGTCCCCTACTGATCACACTACATTCCACTGTATATCAGGACCACTTGTTATAAAAATTATTGACAGAAAATTGGGAATTACATTTCCCGTTAATTGAGGGAGTTTACTATTGAGAAGGGGGGAGGGGGTATTATTATTCTAATTCTAGTAACAAGTCAACAAGTCATGAGACAAGGAAGCAACACAAGAACAACACAGGAAAAAAGGAATTAAAACGGAAATTAATGCACCAAGAGAACCATACCAACAGCAGCACTGCCAATTTTCCCACATCGCCTGCCTACTAAAAACCTTGAGGGAATGTTAGATCTATTGATATATGTTTTCAGCTTTGAAAGCAGGAATTTCATGGTCAACATTTTGTATCTGAAAGTTTCTGCAACGAAAGTGACTTTTCAATTTTTTGGGGGTCTTTCTTAAGAAGTGTAAGAATAATTTTTAAATTTGCTTAACACTGAAGATATAAATGCCTTACATACACAATGTAACCAGTTTCCTCAGATCACTCCTTTGAGCTCCACAAACAGATCAAGTTTCACATACTGCCATAGCTTTTAGTATGACTGTTGGGAAGAGCCATAAAATATTTAAAACTGGAGAGAGGGGTGGGTGTTAATAAATAATAGGCCTATTAACTTTCTTTTCGGGGGGGTCAGCACTGGGATGTAACTTATCAGTTTACATGAACTTGTGGGAAGGCTCATGGCCGAGGGTCCTATATATTACTTCATTATATAAAATATGAGCAGTTGAATTTCAGTAATTTGGAACACATTTATACTTCAGAAGCTACTTGTACTTCATAAAGTTCCAAAAAAATATTGTGGCTTTCTTTTCTTTGTACCTTGTGGCGTGACAAATGGACATAACAAATGAGTAAAGCAACAAAAGATCAGAGGTGCTGGATTAAAAATGGTTGTGGTGAGAGTCAAATTGGCAGTGCTTCTTAGACGGGATAGGAAGCAGGCATGGAAGGATCAACGAACACCCAACCAAAGTATAATTGGCAAACCTCAGATACAGCTTTTATGTCTCGCAACCAGAGGCTTTTATGTGCCTCTCTCAGGAGCTGAAGAGGAAACATTGTGATATTGACAATATCATATTACATCTATCAGCCAATAAAAGAGATATCTACACATTATATTTCTCCGTTATGATGAAAACAGTGCGACTCTCAAGCTTAATCGCAAATAAAGAGCAGTTTTACAGCATCTAATTTCTCATGTCTACATGTGGATTTCACAGAACTGAAAGAGAAAGGCTGGAAAAGTCTTGATTCCTTTGCGTAGCAAAAACAAAGTAATCAAAGATAAATGCTGATTTTTTTAAAAATTGATTATTTGTAACACCATGTATGTGTGTGTCAGTGTGTGTGTATGTCAGTGTGTGTGTGTGTGTGTGTGTGTGTGTGTGTGTGTGTGTGTGTGTGTGTGTGAGAGAGTGTGTGTGTGAGCGCGTGTGTGAGTGAGTGTGTGGTTGGGAGGATTTTTGTGGGTTCCTGTTTGTCTTTGTAGTTGGTCTTTGGCTGCTCTTTTTTGGGAGGGGGACGGGTGGATTTCCTTGATTAAAACTTAAAAATGAAGGAGGTAAACAAAAATCCATTCCAATGTTAATATTGACAACAAATTTGAAGACTACTGACATCATAATTAAATGTATATGATCATAAAATAAAACAAACCATGCAAATATGGCAAAAAGACATGAAGAAAATATTAATCATAGCATGAGGAGGACAAAAGAAATCGAACCTTTAGTTCATACTTGAAGAAAGTATATATACATGTAACATGAATCATTGTTCCAAGATAAAGTCAATAAAATTATTTGCATCGCATACATATTTCAAGAAGGTAATATCGTATAATATGAGACAGCTTAAAACTTGGCAATGAAAAACATTGCAACTATTCCAAAAACAGCAGGGCTACAGTTGTTTGTTTTCCACACTGCAAGCATGCTAGACAAAGCCAAAATGCAATCTAAATAATCACAACAGCCAAAGGAAATAATGCATCCCAAGTCTGTGGGCGAAATTAGCAATATCAACCCTTTAGCCTACTGACAAACGCACTCAGGCCACCTTTTAGTTCCAACATCCAGCACAGAGACAGAGACAAGGAAGGCAACTACGCCTGCTTGATCTTCTAATGCACAACCAGCAATGACAACAGCATTTACCACAAAAATTAGCGAAGGACCTTGGGGAAAACGGCTCCGAGAGCCATTACTAAAATATTTTTCGAACGTTTGCTCCCGTATTAATACTGTCTGAACCTGAAGCAGTTGAAAGGATATTACCTGTTGTGTTTCATAACCTCTGGGGCATTACTTCTCTTTCATCTTCAATTTAAATAAGCCCATGCTAAAATAATTATGTAACGTCGATTATTTGTTTCCGCCCAAACCACCATGCAAAATAATTTCTTCAAAATGCATCTAAACATAAAGCCCCACGGCTAATTACAAACGTGGAAGGGAAAATGAGTGTGTGTGTGTGTGTGTGTGTGTGTGTGTGTGTGTGTGTGTGT